GTACGGAGAATAAAATATATAACCAGAGACAAAGGCCTACGCAATTACCTACCAGACTCGGCACCGAATGGTCCTTAATACACCGGTAGATCGGACCACATTACCCGCTTCGAAATATCAGTCGCACCGCCGCTCTTGTCTAGTGCGCAGTGTGATAGTGATGATTCTTAGCGGGGTTGGACCGTAGTGCATCTCATCTCAGAATTTGTTCCGTGGTATGATACTGTGAAATGCGAACTGACGCACACCTTGAAAACGGGTAGTGTGGTCCGGTCTACCGATGAATTCGAGATCATTCGGTGCCGAGTCTGGTAGTTGGGTAGACCTGAGTCATATTTGTGAATATGTAGTGAAAATCAATCTGTGGCCCTGGTAGAGAGTACATCAGCGAATGCCATATACTAATATACAATTTTATACAGGACATCGCAGTAAAAGAAAGCGAGTCATTTGAATCAAATTAAAAATGCATAAAATGTAGGCCCGAATTTTAATATTTCAATAACTATTTACGATTTTACTATAAAAAAATAAAACATTGAGCAAGAAAACGTTTAATCTGAAGTTGTAACAATAGGTATATGGCTAGAAGAACAATTTTGGGAGAATTGTGTTATAATTTTAATCATGGGTGCAAAAATAAAACACCGGAAAGAGATGCTGGATTAAGCTTGTACAACTGCATTTCAATACACATAATTTTTTTTCTGTTAACGGGCCTAAATTAAAAAATTACACAAAATTACAGGACACAAAATCATCCTCACAGAGGCAGTACATATGTGACAGTGGCGGATTAAGAGGGGTGTGAGGGGGGTTCTGACCCCCCCCCCTCTAGATTTTTGAAAAAAAATCACACAAATGGTCCCCTCTTGAAACTAGAATCTTGACTAGCTGAATCGTAGTTCTAAACCGTACCAAATGGCACCGTTCGTCCTCTAAAATGCCAATTTTTGGGCCCTTCTGCGCATCCGCGACCCCCCCCCCCCCCCCTCAAATTATCCTGGCTCCGCCCCTGTATACACAATATTTATTGTGAACAATATCTCTCATCAGGAGGCACATGATCATCATAATCATAATGCTTAATCAGATTTAAATGAAGATCTGCTTTCTTTACGGTTAATAAACATAATTTTTCAATAATAAAATAGTCGTTCATTGCCACATTTTTCCTGCGAGTAGCGTTGTGCGATTTCATAATACTGACAGCGAGAAAAATATAATTCTACTTAAGACCCATGAAAACGAACTATGCGTCGACGTCCTTTTTATGTTTTCTTTGAAGTCAAGTGCCCATTTCAACATTGTATTCAAAGCAGTTGCACAACTTCATTCTTTGAATTTCGTTCTCCCAGACAAATACCTATTGTCACGACTTCAGATTAAACATTTCCTTGCTCAATGTTTTATTTTTTATAGTAAAATCGTAAACAGTTATTGAAATATTAAAATTAGGGCCTACATTTTGTTCATTTTTAAATTGCTTCAAATGACTCGCTTTCTTTTACTTAGATGTCTTGTATAAATTTTTAAAAGTTAGTAGGGTTATTCAAAGTCGTAATTTCAATATCGGTGGGTTAATTCGAATCTGCCTTTCTCTTGATTTAGGCATTCATCAGAAAGCGCTTTTGGACACTTCAGCTTCAATATTCTTAGTCTTTGTTTCAATTGGGGGTATGCATGCACCCACAGCAACACATTGATTTAAGAGTGAATCGAAACTTTTTACCGAACAATCCATAAATGAAAAAATTCACAGAAGAGTTTAGCACTGCTAAGAGGTTTACCACTTGGAAAGATAGCGGTATATTCCTTTTAATATTCTGTGGCAGAACTTCCGGATAGAATCCAATTGCAAAAGAACAACAATACACCAGATGGAAAACCAGAGAAAAGACGGCGATCAGAATAACAATTTTTGTCATTTCTTTGTGAATGGACAATTTTTGCGCGGAAAGCGCTTCACGGCGTTTCGATAGTTCACGCAGTCTGCGTATTATGCGAACATTGCATATCATCATAAATGAAAAAGGAAAAAGAAAATAAAAAAGAGCGTGAAAAGCAAGCCAAGTGATCCTTTGCTCAGGAAAACGGACAACGGGTAGTTTGAAGCAAAATGGATAGGTCTTGTTCAACGAACAAGACTGAAATCCCATTGAAACAACGAAGAAATATTTCGGTATAACGCTTATGAAAGAGCCAGTGACCACGACTACTACCCACCCCACCCATGACTTCAGTGACGATCTCGAGGTATTCAGGAGCTGTGAAACTGACGAGGAAATCAGACGGTAGCGGTCGACGGTAACAAGAACGCACATCCAAATTGGTATAAGAACGAGACAGTTGTTGAGTGTCCAAAGCACTCGTGTATGTTTCGCAATAAAGGGAAGGGTCCCGGGTATTAGCTCATTGTAGGAGAATATGGACGGGATGCTGATACAGAATGTTTGCGAAAGAAGATACAAATTATCAGCAACTGCCAAGCAACTGAGCAGAAAAGTCGATGAATTTTGGATCTTAAAATTTCGAAACACAACAAAAGACGTCGTGTTTAAAATGAATCCAACCACAGCAACGAAGAAAGCGAAAACCCCCACCAACGAAATGTACAAGCTCTTTGTAATCTACATTATCATCCAATCCCCCCTCTACCCCAGTATTATTTGACCTGATATTTGGAAAATCTGCCGTCGACTCAGTCTCATTCATATTTTTAACCAATTGTGCTTACCTCTGTGTCTCAGCTAACCCCAGGTGCTCGTTCATGTACAAGAAGCAAGTGAACGAAATTTGAAATCATCAAGCTTATATGACGTCCATACAACGAATTCAGTATTTACGTCTTACATGAAGGTGTCGTCCAGCAATCTTACCAAAATAGTCATTTGGCTTTTAATAAGGGAAATTATTATGCGCTAAATAATCCCGTCATGGTGTCATTTCACAAAATTCCTTCGTCTCAGAAAGCGTCTTACTGCTTATATAATTTAAATTGCTGGCGTTAATTGTAACAGAGGAAGATCTAGAAGATTAAAAGCTATGTGAGAGCATTGGAATTATGTAAAATTTATACGTCACACCAGTACAGGGGCGCGTCTCAGACGAAAGTTTCAAGTTTCTACATTTCCTCTATGTAGACTAATAACGATACTAAGTCTGCCCAAGAATAGAAAATAGCCCATGATTAGTTGATATATGATAATCCACATTACATTGATCTAATCGCCTCTAACAACACAAAAACAAGAAAGAGAATGCTAAGAACAACTTTTCAACAAACAAATGCAAAACTAGCTCTTATCTGGTGCAAGAATGAAGTACGTTAAAAAATTCCAACTTAAAAAACACTTGGCTTTAGTCTGATACTATGTACACATCCCTTATTCTATCACTAGGCTAGGAGAAACTACAAAGTTGTATTCAGGTTCCAAAAATAGATAAATGGATTAAAAATAAAATAAAATAAAATAAAATAAAATAAAAAGGGTCATTTAGACCAGCCTCGCAAGTACATGTATATAACAGACTTGACATTCAATATGGTATGTTAATTTTTCAAATTATTTTTCTTCAGTTTTTCCTATTTTACTGACTGATAACTGAACATAAGGATAAAAACCGAGCTTTCATAACTTCTAATTATCTCTTTGATATCTGTAAACTCTATTTTGACTAGTTGAGCGGTACAGGTGAAATCTGACCTCAATAAAGAAAGCTATGCGGTTTTAGTGTTTTACCCAGAAACGGTCACGTTCCCTTATTCATTAGAGAAACAGACTACGATGTTTTGCTTTTTACAATGGCTTCCTCAGAAGTCGCCTGGTATTCGTACCTGCTAAGACCAGTTTGGTGTTCACTAAGGGTGTTAACTGGTGGTAAGATGCCGATACATTGGGTGTGGTTTCTGTGTAGGTACATCAGTCTGGGCATTACTCTATAAAACTGTGCGGACCGCTCCGTGCGACACGATAATCTGTCTGGCAATGTCTGTCTTTTTCGCCCCATTCTGGCACAGATTAACAATTTTTTTAAACACTGCTTTACTCATTTTACACATTACAAAACCAGCCGCTTGCATTCAAATTTTCAAATTGTTCTCTGCCCTAGTTACCGACATATGGATACTTTTTTGACAGAACCATGCTTCGCCAAAGCAAAGCCTTGACCAGCCCATAGGAGCACTACCCAATTAAATCACTGCATATTACACAATGCAGCAGTGCAACAGTCACGTTTACAAGTCAGTTAATTGGTAGCCACACATCTGACTAAACACTTATCCATTCAAATAAATCTTGTATGAATTATGGTTTTTTTTTTTTACCCAGGTATAACTTTAAAATTGAAATGTTCCGTATTCAACGTCAAGTCTGTATTTACGTCAGCCACTTTCTTGGCGTTGTGAAATTTAATCACTTTACACGAGCATGTGATCAAATTGTGTACGTCATTCTCAGTTACCCACGATAATTCGCCTTTTAATACAATAACAAAACATTCTGAATAAATTTTCGCAAACGACACCAGGACAAATTGAATCAAACCAACCAGAATGCAAATGTGCAAACGTTTATGCCATTAAGTATGTATATCTTAACCATCACTTCGTATTTTCTGTATCATGTATCGTGTTAGTTACATTGAATGTTCACATGCAAGACAAATGTGATTAAGGTCTGCAGTAGGCCTACATATGTTATATGTAGTACACGGAAAAACACTGGCTATGTTTTATATAAACGACAGAGACAGCTTGTTGGTACAGAAATGGATTCCCAGCGAGTTTCTTTTGTATACTGGTATTGAAACTGCGCGCCAGGTCACACCCAGCACAATCAAACAGGAACACCAAACACATTTGTAATCTTTTCCATAATAATACGTAACATTAACTCCGCCCATTGACCAGCAGCTGTCACATCTTTCCTCTGATGACCGAGACGCGTTATGTGACGGTTATAGACCCAGGGACCTGTAGGTAAAACTGTAGTGTATTAGTCTATGTATTGTTTACGCGTCACGCCAGGTGTCGCATGACACCTGGTACCATGTGACTTGACGCGGGAATCTTGAATGTAATAAAGCAGAACTCACAACAATGGCGACGAGGATGGTCACATTTTATTACGTTGAATGATAATTTTACGATTTTAAACAACATGGAGCCTCTATGCTCAAATGAAATTGACAATAGTTGTGAGGAAACACGGATTACACATATGGAAAACGAAATTAGACACTTGAACTCAAAATTTGAAGGACTATGTGAAAACGTTTATAAAATGACAGAAGGACTGCAGAAATTTCAAACAGAATTTATCTCATATATGAGACGTGACAATCCATCCTTATTGGAAAATTCAGCTGCACCCTTGACTCATGCTCAGCAAGGACACATTGAGATAAATGATCCTCATGATGCCGATGCTCCACCTGTCTCTGTTACTTCAACGGAGTCTTCAACTCATGGTTTAGCTGAGCGAATAAGTTCAAATGCTGATTTTATACCAGACCCGGGGCAACCAGTTGTCAGTGACCCAACCGTTCCAGCGTACCGTTATGGACGTCAGAATTATGATGCGAGAGGGCCACATCTACAATTCTGTGAGGATGTACCCAGATTTACTCCCACGCAAAGATCGCGGCCAGTGGACACTCCCCTGTATACTGACGAAAACCGACAACCACCTCCAACAGGTAGGTCATTTCCCATATACAATGAGTCACACATTACCTGCCCCCAGCCGCCCACCCGTTTTCAATCATATGATGGAAGTACTAACTTCTATTCATATTACGTAAAATTATGTTGCGTTGCTGAGAGCAAGGGATGGGGAGTCAAAGAAATCTATGA